ATCACCGTGAGTTCAAGGCCAGGCCAGTCTGGGCTATATAGTGAGACTCTGTCTCAAAACAAACAAGCAAAACTATTGTTTAGAGTATTTAAAAGTACCAGGCCTTTCATGGCTCACTTTTCTGAAAGCAATGATATTTTCCCAATAATTCAAGTAGGGTACAGCTCTGTGTAGAGGGCTGGACTATCACATGGGAGGCCATGGGTTTCACTCCAAGCACCACAAAAAACTATCTCCTAGAGTAACGCAGGAGAGGAGCTTACATGCTGCCTCAGTGTACATAGATATATAGAGATGCATGGATTTCCATGTGGCTTTTCTTTTCTAGTAGAGGTGATTGAACACAGAGTTTCTGTGCTGAGCTACATCCTCAGCCCTCAGGTGCTTTTGTGGGGAGAAGGTCTTGTTTACCCACTAAATCACCCAGGCTGCACTTGGACTTGTGATCATCCTGTCTCACCTACGAGGATGTTCAGAACACAGAGTTAGCTGGGCATGGCAGCACACCCTATAATCCCATTATGGGCCACAATTCTCTGCTATTTTTGTATTTTATTGAACTCAGGACTTTGTGCTTGTGAGGCAGCTGGCATCACCACGGAGCTAAATCCCCAGTCCTGATAAATCTTTTCTTTGCTGCACAGCTAGACCAATGGTCCTGTGTTCAAGAGGTCACCCTGCCTCAACTTCCAAAGCAGCAGTGACTACGCCTTCAGGCCAGAGCACCCTGATACTATACAGTGGTTTGAACTCTGGAACAGAGTCAAAATTTGGATATAGCATAAAATTCCTCTGCAGAGATCATTCCTGCCCAAGATTACAACCAGATTAATTCCTTTCCTGGTTCACACCCACCTGTGACTGCCACATGTTAATGAAACTAAACCCGTGGCCAGGGATTTAGCTCAGTGGTACTGTGCCTGCCTCACAAGTGCAAGGTCCTCAGTTTGATTCCCAGTACTGAAAATAAACACATAAATAAAACTAAACCTGTGTTTGTGAAGTGAATCAAGGACTGAATACTTGACTTTCACTTTCTCCTTTTGGAAGGGGTTGATGTGGGGGTCTCACTTTTTTTTTTTTTTCTGGAACTGGGGATTGAGCTTGGGTCCTCGTGCTTGCAAGGCTGGCCACTGAACCGCTGAGCTAAATCCCCGGCTGGGGTCTCACTTTTTAATGCAAGCTGGACTTGAACTCACTAAGTACTCAGGCTGGCCTCAAACTCATGGCTATCCTCCTGCCTCAGCCTCATGACTGCTAAGGTTACAGGCATGCCTCACCATGCCCAACTTCACTCTCTCCTAAATTCTTCCCTAGCTCTATCTATCTAAACCCAATCAATGTGGACAGAGAAGTCCAACTGGATTAACTGGGTGGAGAGGGAGAAACTCAATCAGGCATCAGACTGTTACAGGAAAGGAGGAGCTAGGAAGGTGTAGCTAACAAAAGGGGGATAAAAGCTAAGGAGATGCTCAGTCCTGGAGCTGCCAGCACCTCACCATTCCACCTAGTTCCCGGAGGAGCCTCCTCACCCACATCTGTCTGGTGAGTAACTGCCCGCGCCACCCACCCTTGTGAGGACAGAGGTCCCAGATGACCCTGAGGGTTTCATGATTTCTTTCTTTCTTTTTTTTTTATAAGATCAACAAGTTTAAGACTTGTGGTTTTTGAGGTGGTGTATTTTTTAGAGAGGGTCCCACTATCTACTTTAGGCTAGACTTTCACTATCTAGACCTGGCTGGCCTCAAATTTATGATGATCCTCCTGCCTCAGCCTCCCTAGTGCTGGGATTCCAGGCACTCACCTCCACACTCAGCTTGTTTTTTGTTCCTTGGAGATAAGGCCTAGCAACGTCACCCAAGCTGTCCTTTAAAAAAAATTTTTTGCCAGGTGTGGTGGCTCACGCCTGCAATCCCAGCCCTCAGGAGGCTGAGGCAGGAGAATCGCTGTGAGTTCAAAATCAGCCTGTGCTACATAATGAGTTCCAGGTCAGTCTCAAGTACATAGTGAGACCCTGTCTAAAAAAAAAAAAAGAAGATATAAAAGAATTTTTTTGGATACTGAGTATTGAGCACAGGTCCTTCACACTGTTATATCCCCAGATTTGATAGTATTTTTCTTTATCAAACAAGGTCTCACTGACTTGACCAGGCTGGGCTCAAACTTGCAATGTTACCTGTCTCAGCCTCCAGAGTGGGGGGCTTCCAGGCATCCACTTCCTCTCCTGGCACCCAGGCTGTGCTTGACCTCAATAAGCAGCCACAGTGACTGTGAATTCCAGCTCCTCCGCCCCCAGCCTCCCTATGGATTGGATCAAGGCTGGCCCCACCCACCCTGGCTGAGATTTTTGTTCGACCCTGACTCAAATTCACCTTATCCTCTTGTTAGTATGTTTTTGATTTTGGTTTTCTGAGACAGTTTCAGCCCTGTATTTCAAGCTTGGCTGGAATTCACTATGTGGCGCAGGCAGGCCTCAAAGTCTCATCCATCTGCCTGCCTCAGCCCCCACAGTGCTGGGATTACAGGCGCACGCCACCATTCCTGGCTCATTCTGAAGTCCTTAAATTGCCTAGGCTGGGCTTGACCTTAATCTTTCAGCCTCAGTCTCCTACAGTGCTGACATTACAGGCCTGTGCCACCATGCCAGACTAGTCAAATCTTTAAAAAAAAAAAAGCCACAGAGAGACTGCTAGACGGTAGAGGTCTAAACAGCATGCAGCAGGTGCTTTGATCTCATGCACCACACAAAAGTAAGGAAGGGAGGGAGGGAAAAAAGAAAAGGTATGAGATCATTTGCTCAGTACAAAGGACCACAGAAGATAGTGTGGCCTACCAATTCACTAAAAAGTCCCCCCAGTGACTTATTTGAGACACAGTCTCCAAACTTGCCAGGCTGACAGCAAACTCCAGCTGCAACTGTCAACCTCCCTAGTGATGGCAGTATAGGCTAGTATCACATCAACCAGCTAGAAGTTATTCCCTCTCTCTCTCTCTCAATCAGAGTGTGGGTGATAGAGGAACCACCAGGAAAGTGATGTGAGGACTGGGGTATAGCAGGGAGGTGGTTCTACTAGGATCTCGAAAGTTGGGTGTCACATCGGCGGTCACTCATTTAATTCTGCGGCACAGACCAGCAGGACAAATCTATGCTGGGGTGGGGTGCATGGTAACAGTAGAGATGAATCCACCCAGGCTTCACTGGAGAGACAGGAGAGAGAGCAGGGGAAGGGACACTGGGGAGCCACAGATTCTTAGGAGGCTGGGTAGACACCTTACTATCCTTCACCCTGAAATCACAGAACTTCCGTCAGAGAATGAATACGGTGTGAGCCCCATTGGCAGATGAGGAAATCTCAGTCTGAACAACGTGGCCAAAGGCCCCACAAAACACAGTGGTGAACGGACTTCAGTTCAGACCAGTTCCCCAGGTTCCCAGGGTCCAAGGTCACACCCTTCCCTCCATGGTGTTTCCCCCAACGTTTCCTGCTCTGTTGAGATAATTTTATCTGTTTGTCCATTTTCTAAAATACTTCTTCCACCCTGTCTTTCATGCCCCACCTCCACCAGCTTCCGTTTGATGTACCGTGGACCCCTGAAATGCAGGGAAGTTACATCCCTAGAGCACCTATGAATTTTGAAAAATAGTGAATTTCAGATCTGGTCATAAAAATGCCTAATTTTTTTTTTAATACTTTAAACCCTAAATATTCTGCGTCTCCCCTGGTTATGTAATTTAACTTAATAAAATACTGTATTAATAAAGCCTTACATGTAGGGTGTTTTGGCTGCATCTTAGGGATCTTAGGGATTTAAGAAGAACAAAACCAAGAACACTTGGAAAGCTACACGCTGTATAGCAAGCTATTATAATGTGAGAATGCTGGTGCATCTGCCAGAGATGGGTTATAGGGCAGCGGCCAATCAGCAGCAAGGAGAAAGGAATAACGCTCTCCAATTGGCTACTTGTAAGCCTCCCTCCAAATAACTAAGATGGAGGATATCTGTGGTTTCCACACAACCGCAGGGTTTTCCACTAACAATTATTAATTAGGTTCCAAAGAAAACTGTGAATGTCGAGGCCCTGAACTGTGAACAGTGACTTTGAGGAAGTATATTGGGTATTCAACCAACAAGAGGTGACTCAGCCTAAGAAATTTCCAAACCAGCTGCGCACAGTGCTAAGGGGTTAACCCACTGAGTCTGTTTCCACTGCCAGGTGATGGATAACCCAGGGAACCAAAGAATGAGGTGGACAGATCCGACCTGTCCCTCTTCCTGCCTTATATGGGCTAAGAGGAGAATCCGGCATTCTGCAATGATTTGGAATGAATACACGTGGCATTCGTTTTCTGCTCTGCTTAATTTTTCTTAGCCAGGTGGATTGCAGGATCCAAGAAGTTACAGAGGATGGGCCATATGACTCTCCTTTTCTGGGTTATACTATGTCTTTAAAGTAAGGATCAGAATTTTTTCAGAAGACTGGTGGGGATCCGTTTCAGACTCCTTGGCTCCCAGTTCGCAGTGGACCCAGAGTTCAGTGTGGAGCAGTTGGAAATGGATGTTTGGGTCCTCACCTTGCTTCACCTGGGAGCCACTGGACATTCTTCCTGGTGTCATGACAGGCAGGAGTAATGTTTGGGGACCATGAGCACAGAATAGATCTGGGATAAACTGAAGACTTTTCTCCCATCGTCAGAACAGGAACTTTATGGCGGAAAGTTGTTTTCCTCAGGGGTGAGGAGAAAAGGGGTGTCTCGGATGTTTGGGTCCTCACCTTGCTTCACCTGGGAGCCACTGGACATTCTTCCTGGTGTCATGACAGGCAGGAGTAATGTTTGGGGACCATGAGCACAGAATAGATCTGGGATAAACTGAAGACTTTTCTCCCATCGTCAGAACAGGAACTTTATGGCGGAAAGTTGTTTTCCTCAGGGGTGAGGAGAAAAGGGGTGTCTCGGCCTTTCCTGAAAGGATGTCTCCTTCCTCAGTGTTTCCTCAGGACCCTTGGCCTTGCAGACTCACCAGGATGAGCACCGACTCTCCACCCACACTACTGAAACTGGCAGTGCAGAGCTTGCTGAGGGACGAGGACTTGGCCATGGGGGCTGTGGAGGATTTGCCAGGGGAGCTCTTCCCCCCAGTGTTCATGGAGGCCTTCACCAGGGGTCACACTGAGGTCCTGAAGGCCATGGTGCTGTCCTGGCCCTTTCCCTACCTGCCCCTCGGAGCACTGATGAGCATGAGGAGACCACAGACTTCCGACGCCGAGGTGGATATCGTCCAGGTGCAGGAGAGGATGTTACAAGCTGTGCTGGATGGGCTCGATGTGCTGCTGAGCCAGAAGATTTGCTCCAGGTGAGTGTAACCCAGGGATCCTGGAGGGAGGACCCTGGAATTCCAGCAGGGGAAGCAAGTGTGAGGGAGAGCGGGGGCTGGAGGATAAAGCAGAGGCTTCCGGTGGTGGCTGGCAAAGGATGAGAGAATCTTGGGCATTGCTGAACTATCTGGGAGTTGACTGCCAGTGGGGAGGACAGGCAATGGGGAGGCAGCAGGGAAAGGAGCAAGAAGTTCCTGAGTCTTCCCACCGGCATGAGGAGTAGGGGCTTGGTTTGAAATAAAAGGGGGAAAGGAGAAAAAAACAAAAAAACCAAAAAACTACAGCACAGAAAGAGTGGAGGAGATAGCAGCTGATGTCTGGGATGAGCAGATCACAGAGGGAACCTGGGTCCTGGTCTGGATTCTCAGACTCCTCACTGGTTCACCCACAGGATACTGAAACTGCAAGTGCTAGATATGCGGGACACGCACCAAAAGTTCTGGAGAGTCTGGGCTGGAAATGAGCTGGAAGCCTGCTCCTCAGAGGACATGAAGAGGAGAAACACAGAGAAGAATGGGGCGAGGGCAGCAGAACAGCAGCCCCTTGAGGTGATTTTAGACCTGTGGCTTGGTCTGGAATGTCTGAATCCATTCCAATCCTACCTCCTGAAATGGGTCCAAAAGAGGAAAGGTCTAATGAAGCTGGATTATACCAAGCCATGTATTAGCCCAACATGCATTCAACAAGTGAATGTGGGCGACTGCTGGACTCTCTTTACCTTGGCTTATTTTGACGATTACCTGAGCCAGTTGCAACACCGTCACAAACTATTTTTCTACGATATCTCTGTGCCTGAGTTCTTTTCCCCAGAAGAGAAAGAGCAGTTGGTCACCCAAATCACTTCTGAATTCCTTAAGCTTCACTCTCCAGAGGAGATGTATATGGAATCTGTCTCCTTCCTGGAAGGCCACCTGGACCAGTTGCTCAGGTAAGATGTTGAGCTGTGTAGCCAGGGTCAGAAGATCCTTTCTGTGCTCTAGAAAGATTAGTGAACATGGACCGTGCGCCCCCACAGGAGATGTGACAGGGGCCAAAACCCAGATTCTCAACACGTTGCCTTTTCCCTCCTCGGTCCTACAGCGAGGGCTCACATAAGCACAATCTGGAGTAGCCAGACTGGAGAGACCCACCGTGCTGGGATGACAAGTCAGGGGTCAGACGCAGTGAGGGCAGGTGAGTGATTTCTTCCTTAGGAAGCACGTCTAGGGTAAGAAGAGGAAGCCAAAAGGCAGAGGGCAAGGAAGGGAGACAAGCGCTCACACCTCACACTCAGTGTGTGCGCTTCTTACTCATGAGCTGTGTGAGCGCGAGCGAGCCTGTCTCTGTCCCCCACCGGAAAAGGCTTCTGTGGACTCCAGCAAGGGCTTTCAGTGCAGCTGGAGGTTATCTCCCTCTTTGCACCTTCCTCATGGCAGACATCAATTATTATCTTCCCCATCCTTTCTCTGCCTTAATTTTCTCCTTCTCCTTTCCCCTTTCTGCCTTGGATCCAGCCCAGTCCCCACTCCTAGTTATTGTGGGAGGAGACAGGAACTGATCACTCCTTACACTTCTGCGCGCCCAATTAGCAGTCCCCTTCATCACAGTCAGACCTCTGCGGCTCATCAATGCCCAAAGCCTCTCTGGTCGAACTGACAATAATGACCAGAATCCTCTGCTCCACGGTGGGGTCATGACCAGACCGGAAGTGCGGGGCTCCGAAGCTAACAGCAAGGAGCAGAGGTGCGGGACTGGGAACAAGGACACAGGCTCTGCTGACGGCCTTTTGGGCGACCCCAGTGGATGAGGTCAGGTCGTGTCTGATTTGTCCTTCCTGCCTGTCTCCTGCTGCCATCATCAGGAAAAATCTGGTTTTCTGTTTGGGAGCAAAGAAAGGGGATTGCAGAGATTGGAGGCTGAGCCAGTCACACAGTGATGGTAAATAATGAAGACAGCCTAAATTAAGGTGGCTCAAGGGGTGGGGATTTAGCTCAGTGGCTCCACCTAGGTTGCCTCGAGAGCTCAAGGTGCTGCGTTTGATCCCCAGTACTGCAAAAAATCCCGTTTTTTGGTTTTAAAAGATAAATTAAGGCAACTCAAATGATGATTGGTCCATCTTGTAGTTGTTCTCCACCCATTTCCAGATGTAACTGCTTGGTCTCTTATTCTAGGTGCCTGCCATCCCCCTTGGAGACCCTCTCACTGATGTACTGCCAGCTTTCACACTCTGACTGGAACCAGCTGCCACAGTGTCCAAGCATCAGACACCTGAAACACTTGGATCTGAGTGGTATCAGGCTGACGCACTTCAGTTCTGATCCCCTTCGACTTCTCCTGAGTAACACTGCAGCCACGCTGACCACCCTGAACTTGCAGGCCTGCGGGATCACGGATGCCCAGGTCCGTGCCTTTCTACCTGCCTTGAGCCACTGCTCCCAGCTCACAACCTTCAGCTACATGAAGAACTGCATGTCTGTAGCCACCCTGGAGAGCCTGTTGTGCCACACTGCCAGGCTGAGGAACTTACGCCTGGAGGTGTACTCTGCTCCTGAAGAGATTTACGTTCCCAGGCATGGTGTCCGCCGGCTGAGATTGCACCAGATTCAGAATAGGCTGAGGAGGATCGTGTATCCATTAAACCATCCCAGGATGGTCTGGTTTTGCTTTGGTCACTGTGGTCTCTGTTGCAACTGGGGAGTCCATTACCTGCACCCTGCTCTATGCAATTCTTGTACACCTATCTAGTTTGATCCGCATAACCTGTGCTCCACTGTGGGCCCTGTCTTGGTGTCAATGAGAAGAGAACACATCTGACAACAGCCTTAGAGGTTCTTTGAATTGAACATAGAAGTGACTTTTCTGGACGTGGGGCCTAGACAGAACCAGAAAAAGGAATCTGAGTTTCTAGCTATAAAATTCAGGCTTGAGAGGCATGTGTGGATGAATGTAACAAAATGATCACAAATAGAAATAAAAAATACTAAAATAATAAAATGCTGCTATGTGTAATCCATCTGGTTTCCTCTGTAATCATTTTACCTGGTTTCCGATTTGGAGCTCATGAATCAGTAACTGATGGGAAAAGGCCCTGAGTTGTCTGATCAATGAGGTTTGGCTTCAGGAACTCACAGCAGCAATCAGAGATATTTTACATTGTTCATTCCCTCCCATTCTTTCATTTTCTCTAGCCATGTGTGGCCTTTATGCTTCCTTGTTTTTATCCGTACACTCACGTTCCTTGGGAGGCATCTTAGGGCCTCCCTGCTGAACCTTCAGCCACAGAATACTTTTCTTTCCAGATGAAGTCCTGAATTGTCTGTGTTGTGCTCACACTTAAATCCTCTGCCCTAACATTCCAGGGTGCTGTGACAACAGGTATGAGCCATTATTCTCAGATACCTCCTCCTTACTTCTGTGCCACTTTTTTCTTGTTGGTTTAAGGTCGGCAGCCTGAAATACACATCAGAGATCAGCTCTCTGAAGGAGGGCTCTTTTGGGAACTGCAATCAGGAACATGCCTGCTATGGTAGGCCAGTGGTGACCCTATAATATTTTGTTGTTGTTGTTTTGTTTTGTTGTGGAAGGTGGGTACTGGGAATAGAATTCATGTCCTTGCACTTGTGAGGAAAGAGGCAGAACCACTGAGCTAAATCCCCGGCCTGACCCTATAATATTGTTAAATGCATTTGTTAACTGTTCAGCTCTGTCAAGTAAGAATAATGACACCTATTTATAAAGTCTCTCTAGCCTCTCCCAGCACAGGTCATGATTTGAATGGAGTTGGTAAGGTGGTTGGGCCATAGGATATTTCCATTGCTGTTACTCAAGGGCTTTGGAGCAATGATCAGAAACTTCCCAAGCTGAGCACAGCTGAGCTTTTAGACTCCTCATCGCCCTCTTTCAATAGGGATTGGAGTGAAGAGGATTAGTGGTTGAAAGTGGATGGGACAGTAGCATCCTAGCATTAAAAATGGCAGAGGTAGGACCGGGGATTTAGCTCAGTGGTTCTGCTGCCTGCCTCGCAAGCGCAAGGACCCGAGTTTGATCCCTGGTCCAAAAAAAAAAAAAGAAAAAAAAATGGCAGAGGTATGAATTTAGGCAGTGATAGTGGGGCAAACTGAGAAGTCCTCCACTAGAAATGGGCCAGAGACTGGTCCAGAGTTAGTCTTCTGGGTCATAAGTAGTCTCTTGAGCTTGGTCTGAGTGGATGTCTCTTCCTGGATGTTCCCAGGATTCTTGTTTGTGTTTGTTTGTTTGTTGGTCCTGGATATCAAACCCAGTACCTTGCAACTACAAGGTAGGAGAGGTGCCACTGAGCTAAATCCCTGGTGAGAATCGTTGCTGTTGCAGATCCACCAGGATGAGTACACAGAGCCCACTGCCTCTGTATGAGCTGGTTAAGCACAGCCTGCTGAAGAGTGAGACCACAGCCATTATTCCTCTGGATGGCCTGCCCAGCCTGATTTTTCATAAAATGTTCATGGAGGCCTTTATGTGTGGACATGATGAGGTCCTGAAGGTGACGGTGCAGGCCTAGCATTTCGCCTGCCTCTCTTTGGAGTCCCTGATGTACACGAGAAAACCAGACACTCCACAACACAAATTAGAGAAACTCCGGCTGGAGGACAGAAGCCTACCGACACTGGAAGCTGTACTGCATGTCCTGGATATGCTGCTGGCCAGAAGGTTCACCCAGAAGCTGTTTCCTACATAGTGCTCAGCAACGGCCAAGGCCTATGGGACCCTCCTCTCCCACAGCATCCGAGGCTGCTCCATACCTCAGGTCCATACCTCTGCCCCTTCATGACCCTCCCTGTCCTTCCCCACAATCCCTGCACCCCTCCCTCCAGGATACCTGGGCCACACTCACCTGGGGTGAACCTTCTGGGCCAGCAGCATATTCAGTGCATGCAGCACAGCTGCATGTATTTGTGGTAGTTTTATAATTTCAGAACTGAAATAATGTGATTGAACACAGAGTTTTTGTGCTGAATGAGTTTTGCACTACATCCCCAGCCCTCCTTTTATTGTTAAGAGAGGGTCTTGTTTACCCACTAAATTGCCCAGGATGGACTTGATCTTGCAATCATCCTGCCTCAGCCTGCCAGAGCACTTGGAGTACAGGTATAGGCCATCATGCCCTGCTCCATTTGCTTTTTTGAGGCCCAGCCTTTCTTTGTTGCACAGCTAGACCCAGGCTCCTGCAACCAAACGATCATCCTGCCTCAACTACCAAAGAATCAGGAATTGCAGCCTTGGGCCACAGCACCCTGGTACTGTAGAGTGGTTTTAACTCTAGAAAAGAATCAAAATATGGGATAACTCCTGCCCAAGTCAGGAACAGATCAATCCCTTTCCCTTTTCACACTCTCACCTGTGACTGCCGCATGCTAGTAACACTGAATGTGTCTATGGAGTGAATCAGTGACTTAATCTGTGACTCTCACGCTCTCCTACATTCTCTCATCTCCTGCCTAGAATTTGTTAAAACCAATCAACATGGAGAAAACCTAAACCCCAACAGGATTAACTGGGTGGAGAGGGAAAAACCCTCAGGGGTCAGAGTGTGAGGGGAAGGGAGGAGCTGGGCAGGCAAGGCGTAGCTAACGGGGTGTGGGGGATAAGAGCAGGAGAGGATCCGAGGAGATGCTCAGTCCTGGAGCTTCCAAGTCACCGCCTGATCCTGCCAGGAGTCCCAGAGCCTCGGCACAGAGTCTGCACCTGCTGAGTCACTGCCCTGTATCGCCCCTGATAGCCCCAGGCCAGTGTCCTGTGAGGACAGAGGTCCCAAGTGGCATGGGAAGATTCTGTGATTTCTATCTTTCCAGTTGGATCGGTTTTCAACTTGGCACTTGGTACAGTTTTTTGGAACCTTGGGTTGTTATGTTGCCCAGCTGGATTTCAACTCAGTATGTAGCCCAAGCTGTTCAGAACTCCAAATTTTCCTGCCTCTGACTCCCTACCATTAAGACTATGGCTGTAACTACTAAACCAGAATTATATTTCTGTCTCAATTCTAAATTTGTCCATTTGCCTCCATGCCTTTTATCTTGGTTTGTGCACTGGTTTGTCATTTCATAACTTTTTCTTAACACAGGGACTCACTTCACAGTTCAGACTGGCCCTCACTTTGTAGCACAGACTGGCCTCAAACTAGTAGGGATCCTCCTACTTCAGTCTCAGGGTGCTGGGATTACAGATGTGTACAACCACACATAACTTTTTAAGAAGTTCATATTTTTCTACAAACCCCGAAAGCCTTCTCTTCAAAGGTCAGCAGGGTCACCCATGTGGGTGATCTAACCCTTGTGATGCTGAGGCAGAGGAATGGGAAGATCAAGACCACCCTGGGTTAAACTGGGCTAAATAATAGTTTTTTTATCTTGTCTTTGTACTGAGGACTCACAGTGTCTTCACACTGAGCTATTTCTTCTGTCATTTTTATTTTATTTTGCAGTTTGAAAGCAATTGTCTCACTAAGAGATCTGGGTTGGGCTGCAGCTTGGAACTCTCCTGACTCAGCTTTCTAAAATGCTGGGAATGCAGGAGTGGATCTCCAAGCCTGACCTGATTTATTTATCTATTTATTTATAGCAGCAGTCTGGCCTTGAATTTACTGGGTAGCCTTGGCTATCCTAGAACTCCTGCCTCAGTTTCCCCGGTGCTGGGATTAAAGCCTGCCCTGCCACCCACAGTTTCTCATATCTCCCCCCACCATTTTTGGGTATTAGGGGTTGAACTCAAGGCCTTGTGCTTGCCAGGCAGGCAGTGGTGTCACTGAGCCAAAACTCTGGCCCAGTTTCTGCTGTCTTTGTTTTGAGACAGGGTCTCCTATCTTAGTGAGAGGCTGACTTTGAACTCTTCACCCTTCATCAGTCTTCCAAGGGCTGTCATTAGAAGCTTGTAAGGGCTCATCCAGCTAGAAGTTTCTTCTCTCTCTCTCTCTCTCTCTCTCTCTCTCTCTCTCCATCCCTCCCTCTCCCTCTCCCTTCCTCATTCCTATTACTAGTTACCCATTCCTTCCCTCCCTCCCTCAAAAGCTCGTTTATAAAGATTTCAGTCCATAGTGAGCTGCCTGCAAGACGTAGCAGGGCAAAGAAGAAAGTCCATTACAGGGTAGGCAGAAAGCATCAAGCCCTCCTTCCTTCTCTTCCTTTATAGTCCACACAGGCTACAAGCCTATCGCTGTGCCGTTCACACCCAGGGTGGCCCTTCTCTCTTCAGTAATCCAATCACCTACAGCCACGCTAAACCAATCACTGGACTGATCCAGTTACCACCCCCACGATCTGGCCACTTCCCCAAATCCCCACTGCTGACAGCACAGAGATTTGGAGGACATCTAGGTAGAAGCCAGAACAGCGCTCCAGGAAGGGCAATGAGCACGTGCAAAGCGCAGGAGCCCGGAGCTCGGGGCGAGTAGGAGTGCTGGGCTCAGAACAGGGACCCAGGCTCTGCTGAGAACGTGGGAGCGACTCCAGTCCAAGTGGCCAATCTTGTCCGGCTTCGTTCTTCCTGCGTGCCACCCCCGCATCTGGACAGAGCTGTGATTTTCTGCTTGACAATGAGCACAGGGGGCTGTGGAGAACGGGGACTGAGCCAACCACAGAAGCAACGGTGACTTGAATGATCAGTGCCTTCAACCCACAGCATCAGTGTGATGATCATCGGATGGTGAGGGCCACCTTGGGGCTAACCTGATTCTACCTTCAAGTCATTTCCTGATGCACCCCTCTCATCACCCCAATTCATACGAAATAACTTTCCTCTCTCTCCAGGAGCCAGAACCCCCTGGACGTCCTCTCCTTGAGTTTAAGTCCACTGGAGGAGTCCGACCTAAAGCATCTGACCCACTGTCCAAGCACAA